CACTTTTCGGCAAAGATGTCTTCGTTAGACAGCAATTGCCGCCAAATATCAATCCCGAGACCGAAGTGTTTGTCTGTAAGACAACACGCGAGGCGTTTCTCACATACGAGTAATACAAGTGTTTTTTTGTTATTATTTTTGTCGTCAAATTGTTTTATTAATTTATTTTTGTATTTTATTTTTGCAGTGAGTTCTTCGAGCGACAGATCCTGTGCTCATCGATGGTGTGGACGTGTACTGTGAGCGGCCGAACGGGTCTCACTTATGTGGAGGCCGTGGAGTGCGAGCGCGCGTCCATTGAAATGCTGTCCGCATTCCCGACCGGACTCACGATTCCGACTCTGTTTCTCACGCGATACCTGACCGAGACGTCCATCAATACCATCGTTGATATGATCTATCAATTCATTAATAATCGGTATTTCATTGCCGAAGAGATTGAGACCATTATTAACACCAAAAGGTATTGAAATCATTTTTTAATATAATTTTTATTTTAAAATGATTTATTGATTTGATTGTAGAAAATCGAAAGGAAAGGTGTTTCGAGTGATTCCTCCGAATCAGTCGGAGATAAGGGAAGACGAGGTGAACGCACAAGAGTCGAGTCCACAGACACAGTGTTTTGGCATAAATCCGATGCTCTATAAGTATGAGATCATCGACACCGNAACGCACAAGAGTCGAGTCCACAGACACAGTGTTTTGGCATAAATCCGATGCTCTATAAGTATGAGATCATCGACACCGAGAAGAACCGGCATATAGTGGGCGCCGAACGGCTCACCCGTACTAAAGGTCTCATAACCAAAGATAAGCTCAAGTTATTTCTCAGACAACACTTGAGTCAATCCAAGCGAACGGATCCGTGGCTACTGAAGGAATCGTCCGCTAAAGAGTTTAATCTGCCGGTCATTGGATGGGATAACATATTCTCGGGACCCGAACCCAACTTTTCCGAAGAAACGCTTATCGTTAAGACATTCAACAAAGACAAACAAAAAGCCATTTTAGACTCAAAGCGTGGCTCTTCTGGAATCACTAAAACTCCGAAGAGCTCGAAGACTAAGACAATGGCTGCGAGTGTTTCCCAATCAAAGAGTAGTAATAAAAAGAACGCCTCAACAAGTGGTAAGAAGAACCAAAAGTCGGCCACAAAATCGGCGCCGAAAAGTAAAACCAAAGAAGAGACCAAACAATCGATTCGCGAGAGAGAAAAGGAACAGAAATTACAGCAAAAACTGCTCGAAAAGGAACACAAGAGACAATACGAAGAGAATATGAAAGAGTGGAGCACTAAAAGAGACGACTTGGCGTGCGATGACTTGAGGCCACTGCCCGAAGCCGAGCCACTCAAATGCCAGATACCGGTCCACTTGTTCGCCGACGCGGTCGCTGTGATGGAGTTTATTCATTGTTTTAACGATTTAATTGATTTGAAATCCATATTTCCGTTGGGAATAACACTGGAACTGATGGAACAAATGGTGACAGACGTGGACGTGAACGGGCCGTTCGCCGATCTCATCAAAGTGTTGATTACAACGAACTTTACTTTACAACAAGAGGAGGACGAGAGTGAACAGAGAGGAGGAAGGGATGACAGCAGTGACGACGAGTCAAAGCCAGCCGAAGACGAGCGCAACGAGATATTTGTCAACACATCCGGCGACAAGAATTCTGTCTATTATTATAATTGGATTCAAAATCATTTTGGTTTAGAGTTATCTCAACTCAGTTTAGACGCGTTTAACATCACAGAAGTGTTGCGCCTCTATTTGCTGTCCAGCGGTGGCGGACCTCAGCCTCACTCCAAATACAGGGGTCTCTATAATCCGCGCG